AACTTCTGCACCCATTGCCACTGTAAAGAGCATTTTATACATGATTCTACAACTTCAGCTGGTTGTCCTCTTTTCACAACAGGCAAAATTTGCCTAAAGTCAACACCAAAAAGAATGACTTTTCCTCCAAATAGAAAGTTGTTGTTGCAAACATCTTTTAACAACCGATCGATTGCATTTAAAGTGTGTTTGGGAATCATGGATGTCTCGTCAAGCATAAACAAACTAACTTGCCTTAAAAATTGTCCCTGAATAGAGTTAGGAGTCACATTACATGTGATGTTATCCAGTATTGGGACAGGAAGTTTAAATAAGCCGTGCAGCGTAAATCCATTTGTAAGAAGAGTTGCTGCTATGCCAGTCCATACAGCTGTAGCAGATTTAACACCCCTACTGCTCGTTTCAGCAATCAAATAATTATATGTAAAAGTTTTGCCACTACCGGCTGGTCCATTCATAAAAAACAATCTAGAATGTTGATTTTCTACACTTGATTGCTCGTTCAATGCAGCAAGGACAGCATTACTTACATTTAATTGATTGACATTAAGAAGCGGTCTCATTCTATTAGCTTCGTCAATTGATTGCTGAACATTATCATTTAATTTTTCTAGATTAAAATCTATGAATTCATCAACAACAGGCAAATTATAATCAGATAGCGTTTTACCACTTTGATTAATAATCTTTTCGATTTGGCGAAGAGTAGCTTGTTCAGCTTATATAAATGGAACTTGGTGATGAATGAAATCCTCCATCATAAAAGCTTTGTATGTATTCCAAAGATGCAAAGGGTCATCAGGTTCACAAAAGGTTAAAATAATTGAAAACAGCTGCCTAATTTGCTTAGGCATTTGCGTTAAAACTGCCTCAGAAAGAGTATTCTGCCATTCAGTGTCATCTTGCAGCAAACCTTTAAAAACACACGCTTCACGAAAGGTTTCAATGACTATTCCATTAACAGTACGCAAATCCTCCCAAGATGTTGCTCCTTTTGCCTGCAAAAGTAACAATCTAAGAAAAAATAATTCTCCTGTTGGACAAACTTTATACATTCTTACTATCACCTTATTTCCACCTCTTTGTCTAACCTTCCATTTGCAGTGTTTATCATCAAATACAAAGTGATATGGAATGTCAACATATGAGTAGCGATGGGCTCCTTTATTTTCAGAATTCAATTTAAACCAGGCCGTAAGGTGTGTATCACGTTGAGCAGCACGATCTAACGCCACTTGTTCTTCTCCTTTTCTAAAATACACAATCTGATTCTCAGGAAGATGAACATTAAGACGGATAATAGTGTGTGACATATGACTTATGGGATACTCAAATATTCGCCACAGTGCCTTAGGTGCACTAACATAATGACAATCTAAGAAAGTGTTTACTTCATCGTGATTAACCTGTTCATTTATCAAAACATTCGCACAATCATGCCCTTTGTATATGTATTTGTACAAATATTTAACAGCCTTTACAGACATGCAAGCTTCAACATTAATGTGGGCTTGATATTTCTTTGATAACCAAGGATTATAAGGTACCACCCGACAGTTATCTACATTGTTGCCTTTAATATTGATAACCAACCCATTATCACGACGCCTATAACGGGGATAGCCATTGTGAACAGCTACTGTGTTGGCATTAAAATCTTTAGGATAATTTTTGCTGCACACCCCATCTTTCATGCAGGGAGAATTTGGATTCAGTATCCCACATGGGCCGTGAATCATGCAAGTTTTAATAATATCATAAAGTTCACGATTACCTATCGGATCTGGAATTTCTGCACATATCAAATTATTGATATTCTGTGATGTTTCAAGTTTATCATCATTTGCTAAATGAAGTAAAATGAGGGCATGCGGCAAACCACGCTTTTGAAACTCAATAACCTGAACATGCGTTACAACTTTGCCTAATGCACCATGTTTGAATATATCATTAAGGAGGTTATTTAACTTGAGTTTAAATACTTGAGTAACCAAATCAGGTCTATCATTCGCATTCTGACCCGGTATAAATTTTCTGTTATTACACGCCATTTTGGGTTGCAAGTAAAAGTAATAAAAAGATTTGGTTTACCATACTTTTTAATAATTGCCATAGAATCTTCAAAGTTTTCTTTTAAAGCTCTAGGACTTCCTATATAAGATGATGGCAAAACTAATACTCGTCCTGGTCTAATATTACGATCATTCGCAATGTTGTTAATATGTTCATGTAAGGCATCATACTGCTCGCTTCTCAGCTTATTTTGATTATTTCTGATAAAAGCAAGACTCTGGCCTTCAATTTTTACATATGCATCTACAGCATATTGCTGAAATAGTTTCTTGCCATAAAATAATGAACAGAAAAATTGCCTAACAGAAAGTCTATAATTGCAGAACTGAGATAATGTAACATGATTTCTAACCAGTGTGGCACGCTCAGGGTTATGCACCATCTGATTATACCAACCAGCATCACCTCTTGGTAAAAATAGCGGATAAACCATAGGATCCAAGTTGGCTGACATACTTGATACAATTTTTAAAGGATGACCTCTTGGGTAAATAACAACTTCCCTGGAAGTTGGTGGAGCACCATCTTTGCCAACAAATACAGCTGCAACTTCATCATGTGAAATTAGATTATAACGATGTCTATCACCGCCTTCAAGTAAAGACATTTTTACAACAGAAGCTGAGCAATCTTCTATAGCCGCCTTACGAATTTCTTCATCTTCTACTTCAGCCATGTTTTTAAATGCAAGAGCAAATGGACTTTGTTCCATAATTATAGTTTGCAATTGAAACATTAAATCACATAAACAAAGATCATTACCACGTTGTTGCATTCTAAAATTTAGTGCAGCAAGTAGATCATAAATATATAGTTGAGAATATATTGGTGGAATATCTTGATCTGGCCTAAGATTACCTACACAATGAAAAATCTGGCCACATATTTTAAAACATGGAAGCCCATGATTCATTGGTTGAACTACATTTGCTGTAAAAGAAGCAAAAGAAAGGCAGGCATTATAATTTCGAATATGTTTAAAAAAATTAGCATTAGCATTACGATCTACATAATTCCCTGTAAACAAATCCTGTAAAGCTTGTGTAATTGGTGAAAGTGGAGGCAAAGTTACCTTATCATTATGGCAACATAGAAAATGTGTTTCATCTGGAAATTTCTTAGCACCACAGTGCTGACAAATTTGATTCATTTCTCCTAAATAATTATAATCTGGAACAGCATTACTTCTCGCTATAGAATACATTTGTCCTTGTCCAGCAGCTCTTCTTTCATTTTGGCAACGATTAACATTATCTCGATCAAGCCTATTTCTTTCATTTTGGCGATGATTAACATTATCTCGATCGAGCCTATTTCTTTCATTTTGGCGACGATTGACATTATCTTGATCGAGCCTATTTCTTTCATTTTGGTGACGATTAACATTATCTCAATCGAGCCTATTTCTTACATTTTGGCAATGATTAACGTTATCTCGATTAAGCCTATTTCTTTCATTTTGTAAACAATTAATTTCATCTCGCTTAAGCCTATTTCTTTCATTTCTTCTACGATTATTTTCAACACGCCTTATAGCACTTACATCATCTTGTAAATACATAACTTCATCTAGCCTATCATCCATTTCAATGTCATCATTTTCATTAAACATATTTATTTAAACATATTAAGCAACACTAATTATTTATTTTTTTTTACTAATCTAAAGTTAACAATAAAATAAAAAAACTTAATAACTAAAAAAATCATACTCGAAAAATTAAAAAAAAAAAATTCTCAAAAAAAATATATATAAAGAAACCAAACAAATGCAAAATAAAATTAATTTGCCATCATCAAAAGTAATACAGGTTTCTTAAGTTTATTTGATAGAAGTTAAGAAAAACCTGCAACCACATCAGCAAAAACTTATTAAAAAAAGTTAAAATTTATTTTATTTCTAATAAAAAAAAAAAAAAAAATTGCATGAACTATGACACGGTACTACCAGGGAAGTGGTGGGGATCGAACTAGGAATCTCTCGCTTATGAAGCGAGTGTTTTACCACTGCACCACTACCGCATATATATATATTTATATATATATATATATATATATATATATATATATATATATATATATATATATATATCAAACATTTTCTGCTTTATCGCAAACTGGCTGGCTATGATTTTGGCAAAAATATTCTTGCCTGGCTCAAGGACTTTCTTGAAAATAGGAAACAGCGGGTTGTTCTGGAAAATTTCTCTTCGGATTGGAAGGATGACCTGAGTGGTGTACCTCAAGAATCAGTCATAGGGCCTCTTCTTTTTTTGATCTTTATCAACAACATGCCAGATTTAGTTAAAAATAATTGCAAACTATTTGCTGATGATAGCCAGTTGGTTGCGAAAATAAAAACAGTTGTGGATTTAACGTTAGTCCAAAATGATATTGATATGTTATGTAATTGGTTAAGACTTTGGTGCATGGAACTTAGCATAAATAAAACTTAACGATGTTAGATAAAAATGGCAGTCACATTCCTATTGAAGATGTATCTGTTGAAAGAACATTGGGTGTTCTGATAAAAAATAAACTGAAATGGTCAGAACAAATTAGTGATGCCACTCTTAAAGCTAACTCTGTTCTTTGGATACTCAAAAGAACTTTTAAAAAATGGAATCCATAAATGTTTGTGAAGCTCTATACAGCATATGTAAGACCGATATTGGAGTACTGCGCACCAGTTTGGTGCCCTTTTCTTCTAAAAGACATTAAAAATTTGACTACCTATTAGTACCCACCTATGAGTACCCACTTATGAGTACCTACTTATTAGTATCTACCTATTAGTATCTACCTATTATTACCTGCTTATTATAACTTCTAAAGTAATTAAAATCATCAATAATCAATTAAATAATCAGGATAATCATGTTTAACTTTAAAAATATTAAAAAATTGTATTTTTATTATTTTAATAGAAAACAATCTTCATTGATGCAAATTTTCCAGTTTGTAGAAGCGCTGCTCGAAAGAAGCTAGCAAGACTCAGAGCTGTTCAAGATGCTTTGGGTAAGAAGCTGTTCAACATACTCTTGGTAGATTTTATTTCTTAAAGAGATTTTTTTTTTGCAATAAACCTTTTAGAAGTGCTTTTTTTTTTTAACCTGTAGGTTTCCTTTGAATTTTTTTTAACCTATAGGTTTCCTTTGAATTTTTTATTTTTATTTTTCTCATTAAATTTTACCCTAAAAAATTTTTATTATAAATATATTTTATTTATTGTAAATATATGTCTTAGTCAAGACAGTAAACTGATTTTTTATTAAAAAAGATTTTAAAGAAAAACACGATTAAAAAAGTTTATTTGTGGTTTTTATTTATTTTTATCATTATATATATTTTTATCTCTCTCTCTATATATATATATATATTTTAAACGTTACTCAAATTTTTTAATCTTTAATTCTTACTTAAATACCATATTATAATGATAAAGGCTTCAAGTTAAACGACTTAAACCACTTTTAATACATCTTATTTTCATAAACATATTTTCATAAACATATTCTCACAGTAAGCAGGGAGACTAAGTACACTTTAGACATAAAGAGACAATCGATGCCTAAATCTTTGCTTTCTAGACATTAGACCATTATTGTTTATGGTCCAATTGATGGCAGCCATGCATCTAGAAAAAAAAATTAGAATTAAAAAAAGTTTTTTTTCTGAAATTAGATTGCTTGTTATTCAGCTCCTAATCAAAATTTATCAAATCAAAAGTTAGAAAATCACAGTTGCTTTGTAAACAGTTACCTGCTAGCATTTAGATATGTAAGCAGATATGGTAGTCCATCAGACAAATTGTTCACAGTTTCCTGCACCTATTTAAAACCTTTAATTGTATTGCATTAGTTTCTATATACATCATTTCAGGTTGATTCAACTTATGCTTGACACTAAAATGGAAACCTATTAAAACCATACAATCTCATTCTTTATGGTTCTTGATACACAAACTTACCATTCATGAAAAAAACGAGTTTAACTTCTTAGGATTTTTTATGAATATTAATTGCTAAAAATAAAGTTTGTTGGTCGAACTCATTACACAAAATTATTTGAAGGCCAGTTTTATGACTTTGAAGGGTAACAAGAATAATACTTGAAAGTCTTTATTTTCAGAAATATTTTCCTTAACTTGTCCCATGTCAATGGATTGTCATTATATATAAACAAAGCTCAAACATGTCAACTATTATATTCATAAACCGGTAATCTTTAATAATTAGTTTGAAAGTTTAAATTTATCTATAAAATTATAATAATTTAGATAACTGCCTCACTAACTGTGAAGTTTTTGCAGTTGCGTACCATTTGTATGGTTTTTGCAGTTGTGTACCATTGCTTTATTTTACTTTGATCATTTTTGACTACTTAGTATAAAAAATTTTTATGATAATTGTTTTTCTTAATCCCTTACTCAGTTTTCCTGTCAAACTTAATCATTTACCTTCGCTCCTTGATTTGCACCTTGTCTTTAACCATAGCTTTTGCTAGTTTCTCCTTATTCTCATTTAGGTGGTTTTAGAGATCTTGCAATAATCTTGGTTATTTTCATTTAGGTGGTTTTATCTTGCTATAATCTCACTATAACCTTTATCTTTTTTTTTTTTTCCAGATGCATCCTATACTTGCACTTACTACTACCTTAAGGTTGAATGGGATTCATTTTGTAATTTTCTCTGAGATGATCTCTGTGCTGATAAATCTCATTTCTCTGCTGAGAGATGAAATTCCACCTCTTTCATAATGGTACTGGATTAGTTCAGGCAATAGTTTTTTTTTTCTTCATCTTTTTTTATAGTAACAACTCTCAAATGTTTCAAATGAAAACAAATCGTTTTTTCATTACTGCTAGAAATAAAAAAAAAAAGATTTTCTGACACTATGGTCCATATCATCATTAATGAGCTGATCTTTTTACCACTCTCATGGAACTATTTGCAAAGAACTCTACCTCTAATTTATCTCTTGTGTTTAATTCTTCTCATCATCCTAAAGAAACAGGTCAAACCACAGTTAGACATCCATATCATTTCTGTGTCTGTTGTTAAAGTTATTTCTCACATTCATTTGTAGCTTTTGGTCCAGACAAATTTCCTGTCACAGTCTTAAAAAGGTGTTCTCTCAAAATAAAAAAGTTTTCTCTAGAGCTCTCTTTAATACTTTTTGGACTCTCATCTTTTTGCTACAGAATAGCAAAAAGCTGTCAGAAAGATGGAAAACGATAGAGATAAGGTAATGGCTAAAGATGATACTTTTATTATAAAATTTATAACATTTTTACACATTATTTTTATAGAAAATAGTTTTGTTTTTACCAAAAATATGAATTACTTCACACCATATTAGTAAGAGTAACCAATAGTAACAATAAAAAAAGTTGATTAGCTATGAAAAATAAAAGGAATGTTAAATAGTTTTTATATTTTTTTAGATTCGTTAGAAAGAGATTGCTCCATACCACAACCATTTTGTTACTTACCAAATTTAAATCAAATAAATGATTACAATTATTTAAAAAAAAGTCATTTTACTAACAATCACTTAAAACAATCAAGTAAAGATTCGTTTAAAAATCATCAATCAACCACTGAAGAAAATCCCCAATCATTTAAAACTTTTAAACTCGAGGCTAAAAATTCAAATTACACTGACTTGACTGATCGGAAACAATCTTACAATACAATAGATATCTGGAATCATTTGTATTCTAATAAACTTTGGGAAAATGTAGTTGACCACTATTATTCAGTGTGCTCAACAAGTCCTGATCGAAGAGATAGATGTTTTCAACATAAAGCAGTTATTAACGAGACTTCCAAACTTAAAAATTTACCCCTAAAGTTAAAACACTTTACTTTATTGTTACATAAAAATATCACTGATGAAGTTGCTATAAATAATAAAGTAACTGCTGAAAAAAATGATGAAACTTTACTTCCTGAAACAAACTATGACAAAATATCTAATGAAATAAATTATGACAAAATTTCTAATGAAATAAATAGTAAAAATAGTGATAATATACTGATTGCTGAAATTCAAAAAACTTTAAATGATATTTTAACATGTATCTGTAATGATGTCAATGTAGTTTCTAACAATGTCATGCAAAGTAGCCCAGATAAAGAAAAAACTCAATTAAAACTAAATAAAACCAAGAACTGTATTAACATTGATGAAGATAAAGAAATTTCTACATATCTTTCAAAAGTTTCTTGTGAATGGTCGCATTTACATGATTTGGAGTTAATATCATTTCTATTTGAGAAAAAGAAAGAGAGCGAAAGTCTCATGTTGGTATGTACTTTTTTAAATAATTTTTTTTTGTAATTTTACATAATTAGTTTTGTTATTATCATTTAAAAAAATTGTTTATTTTTCAATGTATTAGGAATTAATTTATACAAATAATATTTATTTTTTAATGCATTTATTGATTATTTTTTAATGAATTTGGAAGTAGCTTTAAGTTACCCGAACAAACTTTAAGTAATTTCTAATTAATATTTTTAACTATATTTCTATGCAAATACTTTAACTCTCTTACTTATCTTTCTTAACTCTCACTTATCTTTCTTTTTTCTTCTCTTTTTTTACTTCACTTTCCAATTATCTCTCACTTCATGTTCTTCATACTCTAATTTAATTGTAAGAGTTTTGTGACTAATCAAACATAATATCACATTTTTGACCATGTCTGGTTGCCTCAGATGTCCCACTTAGTTTTTATATAGTTTTTTTTTATGTTAATGAATCTCATTAAAACTCTCTTTTTCATAGAAAACTTTAATTAATTAGTAATTAGTAATTATTAATTAGTAATTATAAGTTGCTTATAAATCATTCATAGTTTGTATCTTGCATCAAAAAAAAAAAAAAAAGAAAAAAGATGACTAAAGGATTGTTGATAATTTATGCAGCACAAAATTTATTTACAAATTAGAAGTAGGAGATTATTTGCTCTTTTGTGTAGCAATTTTCATTGCACTTAAAAAACTTTTTAAAGTATTTTATTTGCTCTTTTGTGTAGCAATTTTCATTGCACTTAAAAAACTATTTTGAGTTTTGGTTTAATTAAAGACTCAAGGGAAAACTTTTGATCTTAATTGTTTTAACTCTCTTTACACTTGAACATTAAATTTCTGTTTTTGAAATAAATAATGATTTTTGTTATAGAAAGAAAATTTACCAAAAGTATTTAGGTCAGACATATTTGAAAAAAATAATTTTATCAAATATCCACTTCTTTCAAATGTAAATGCGACATTGCTAATTTACAGAAGCATATCTTTGATAAGAGTTGTGACTGTAATTGACTCTGTTCTTGATATTCTTGTTGGGCCATCATTAAAGCGTGATCAGTTTCATATTCAATATGAGGTGAGCAATTTGAGGTAGTCATTGTGATAAACTTTTTAACACTATAAAATATGCATATAAAAAAAATGTTTTAATATTTATAAAACTATATTTATATTTATTTGTTATGTCTTCTTTTTTAAAAAACAGTAATTTTTTCTAGTTAAAAATAAATTCAAGCAAAATGTGCTTAAATAATTAGTAAATCTTTTATCCTAGGAGAAATTTCCTTTAGCATCATTCAGCGAAGATTCATTTAAATTAGTTGTTAATAAAACACAGATAAACAAAAACGATGAAGTTGCAGAGAAATTGTTACATGAAAAAGCATGTACAGATGAAGAGAAAGGTACTTTTATAAGTTTTAATTTTTTTTGTCTTTCTTTAAATAAACTTTTTTTAATGAACTTGTCCTATTACGCGGTGCTATTGGGCTGGCTAACACCCCGGAAAAGTGTGCATTTATTGACTGACTTGAATAAGTAGGACATGTGCAGACTGTACAAATATTGACTCAGGGATTGGGTTAGGGCAGGCAGCTTCATTACCAACATATATGTACAATCTCTGTATGTTCTCCCAATTTAAGTCAGCCAATTTATGCGCTCATTCATTTTATTGCAAAAATATGAATTAAAAATCAAATATGTTGAATAATACTGTTCACATTAGAAAATGAACTTTAGATTTTATCCAAACAATTCATTTTATTGTTAAAGATAAATTTTTTTCAGGTTTTTTCAGAAAAACATCTCATAAATACCTTTATGATTATTCTGAGAAAAAGTATAATCAAAAACTAATTATTAATGCTTTAACTAACATTGATTGTGATGGGCGCAATCTTGTTCCAGCATGCATTGAGCAAAACCTTGGAATACTATTATTCAACAACTTGAAAATCAAAGTACAAATAGAAGCAGTACAACAAGTAAGTACAAGAAATCCACAAGCACAAGATATGACAAGCCACAGGATATGACAAGCACAAGATATGACAAGCCACATGAAATTACTGCTGCAATAAAGACATTACTTTAGTTTCAACCAAATAATTGATGATGAGCAGATAACTTGACTTGAGTATGAAAAAGAATTTGGAAGAATATGGAAGAGCATATTTTTTCCACAATTTCTCTGAACATAAGCTTGAATTGAATACCTTTAATGTTGTGCTTTGTCATTTCATTCAACAAATTCGATTTAAAATTAGGATTGTGAAAACCGTTTCTTTAAGATTCTCATTCATCTGGTTGAAAGATTAGGAACTGGCAAGTATTAAAGCTTGTGAATATACCATTCACAAGCTTTATTATTTGCCATCAACTACTCGAGTTTTTAAACTATTTAAATATTAAACAAAAAAAATAAGAAAATATAAAAAAATTTGAAAATATAAAAATATTTGAAAATTCGAATAGTTTATTAAAAGTAAAATGACATATAAAAAAAATGAAGCCAACACTCTCTGATTGCTTGGAGGGGGCATTTGAGCTTAAAAAGAATGCTCACAGGGATGTTATACTTTAATTTGGATAAAACTGAATTTTTTTCACCTAATTGTTATTGCAATAATCTAGATCTTTCTATATTTATGAATAGTAATGTACTTGATGAATCATCTACCCTTTATTTTCTAGGATTAACTCTTACTTCTGATCTTTCCTGGAAACCATATATCAAATCCATTGCAAAATTAGCATCTGCTAAGGTTGCATCTCTGTATTGTGCTCACCACTTTTTTACTCCAGATTCTATTCTTTATTTCTACAAATCTCAAATCCGTCCTTGTATGGAATACTGTTGCCATATATAGGGCAGATCTTCTAATGATGCCCTTTCTCTTTTAGACAAGGTGCAAAAACGCATTGTAAACATAGTTGGACCTGCTCTTGCAGCCAACCTCCAACCATTATCACATCATTGTAATGTTGCTTTTCTTTCTCTTTTCTATAAATATTATAATGGGCCCTGCTCTAAAGAGCTAGCGTCTCTTGTGCCATCTACTAAAATTCATTCTTGTGTTACTCGTCATTCAATTAAGTCTTATCTTTTTTCTGTGACTTTTCCTAAGTGTTCCTAAAAAATTGTTATTCATTTTTTTCTAGTTTTTTTTTTTAGTTTTATTCTAGTTTTTTTCCTCGACCATCAGTTCTTTAGAATGTGCTTTCTTCATCTTGTTTTCCTGGTTCATACAATTTACAATCTTTTAAATCGTTTGTCAATTGTCATCTTGTTCTATAAACTTTATCTTTTCTCTTTCAGTAACTTGAAGTGAAGGGAAAAAAAATTAAACCTGCTGCTGAGAATGGGCAAATATATATTTTAAAATATATATTTTAAAAATAAAAGTGAATTGAATGTTTCAAACTTTGTTTTAATTTTTGTTTCAACCTGCTGTTTTAATTGAACCTGCTGTTGAGAATACTCTTTCAGAAGCTGTTGAGGTTGGACAAATTTTTGTTAAATCGTGATGTAAAACATCCAGGGTTGTTAATGGTTTTTTGAAAGAATCTAATTGACGAAATTCTTTCTTCAGTTCTTTATATATGTCAATTGTAGCAACAGTTTTGTTTTGTGGATCTGAAGTAGAGCTTATTGCAGTTTTTGTGATCCAACTTTTTGTTAAATCATCAAGAAAAGTTATCATCATCATTAATATTAAAATACTTATCTATAAACATTTTTGTTCCATAATTTTAAATGAAATTTTAAATCAATGAATGAAATTCATTAGGAGTTTTATAGCCCAAAAATATCATTTTTTGAAATAAGATCAAAATTCAACTCGATTAAGGATTTGTTAATAAATTCGAATAGAATTAAAAATTGTTGAATCATTATACTCAAGGAGTTTCATTGAGTTTTTATATCTAATTTTAACTTGAGCTTTTTCCACAATATTTTAGTTACATTTTGTTGCTAAATAGTTAAATAATATTTTAGTTATATTTTGTTGATAAAAGAATGTTTTTATAAACAAAATATAACTAAAATATTATTTAACTTTTATTATGAACATTTCATAGGGAATATAATTTTTTACAAACAGTATTTGTTTTTGTTTTTTCTTAGGAATAATATTTATTCCATAATTTTCACTTGATCCTGATTTAAAAATCAATATGTTATATCATAGCTTCAAAAGGTTAATCATAGTAATGGTTAAACTTTTTCATTCTATGTTCGTGTTGCACTTAATATCTGATCTCTCTAAAACTATTTTCTCATTCTTCTTCATCATCAGACTCCTTTCTATGTTCGTGTTGCACTTACTACATGTGACTTCCCTTTTTTTTTTTTTTTTTTCTAAAAAACTTCCATACCTCAGATTTTTTTGGCATGGCTAAAACTAAAAACACAGCAGATGTAATAATGTAAGAAATTCCCACAAATTTTAATTTCCACCTTATTTTCCATCTTTACACCTTCCAACAAATTATATTTTTATCAGAAAATTTTTTATTATTTTCATAAATAAATTAAATTTATGTAACAATTTTAAGTGTTGACTGTGGTTATGTAACATTTTTATAGTAAGCTATATAAAAAACCAACTGTATTTCAATAAAAAATATTTTAATAATAATTTTGCTAGTAAAAAAAGACAGAAAAGAGTGTTTTGTATTTCAGAGAATCTAATAATCCTAATCAGTGAATGTTATATGTGTTGCATAAGTGATGTTTAATCCAAATGCGTTTCATAAAAATCTGGATGTAAAATAACAGTGTTAAAAATAAAAACAGGCTCATTAACTTGTACGATTGTACATGCATTTAATTAAAAAATATGCATGCTTAAAAGTGCGCTTAATTGCCCTGGGCATCATGAAAATTCTTGTAAGCCCTGACACACACACACACACACACACTAGAGCTTTATATTTATATATATTTTTAGTGTTTTTTAATAGTTAATAGCTTATGTCAACTTATTGCAAGTTAATATTTAATAAAATACACTAATTTAAACTTTAATATTAAAAATGATTCTTATGAAAAAACATTTTTTATAAGAATTATTTTTAATATTATTCTAAAGTTTAAATTAGTGAAAAACACTTGAAGAATATATAAACATATAGTTCTATCTTGTGTTTGTGTCAAGCCATTGACTTGTTGGATGGGTTTATATATGACTGGGCTGAATGACTAACAGAGTAGAAGGACTTCTAAGTAAACAATTAATATATAACTAACTGTGCATGAATGAAAAGTTAATTTGTAATTTATATTATTATTTATTATATTAAAAAAGATTTTCAGCTTACTATTAATCAAATTTAAATTTACCTTTTAATTTACCTTTTAATTTACCTTGATTTCTTTTATGTTCCTTAAATTTAAATTTACCTTGATTTCTTTTATGTTCCTTAAATTTGAATTTACCTTGATTTCTTTTATTTTCTTTAAAGTAAATAGAAGCTTAAGTGACATTTATGTCGCTTAATTTCATTAAACATATTATATCATATTTATATTAATTCTTTAAAAAACCAAAATAACAAGGTTTAGAATAAATTGATTATTAAAAAATTTATTTTTTTTAAACCTTTTGTAGATTTTAAAGCAGTAGTATTTCAGAGTCCTGGAATATAAATTATATAAAATAAATTTTTTTTATTAGATAAAAAATAAAAAGTTAAGAAAGCTTAACTTAAACAACTATATTTCAAAAATTTAAGAAATAAGTTTAGAGTTTCTGGTGATGCCTTAAATGATATAAATTTAAATGTTTTTATATTTTTCAGACTTATTTAATGAGATTTTTATGATGATGACTTCTGAAATTGAATATGTAAAGCAACAGGAGGCAATCTTAAAGAAAAAAATTGAACTTATTAATAATATTGATGAACAATACAAAGAACAGATCAAACTTCTAAATCAACAGGTTTTTTTTTTTATAAATCTATACAAATATGAAATAATTTTTGTGCCTAAATTTTATTGCTCATTGATTTTGTACTTATATTTTATACACATATACGCAATATATATATATATATATATATATATATATATATATATATATATATATATATATATATATATATATATATATATATTTTTTGTAAAAAAATGTACCCATAAGAAACTTTTATAAAGAATGAAAAGTACATACATTGACTATCAAATAGCCTGACCCGCAAGGGAGTGCTGCCACATCGACTGAGGGTTTGATTGTACCAGGCATCATATATGTTTATATATATATGTGTATATATATATATATATATATATATATATATATATATATATATATATATATATATATATATATATATATATATATATATATATATATATATATATATATATATATATATATATATATATATATATATATATATAGATAGATAGATAGATAGATAGATAGATAGATATATATTTATATATCAAGTTTTGTACAGAGCTGTCTTTATTACATTGTTTTTAGTTCTTGTAAAGGTTTTCATTTATTATCTTTGAAAGTACAAGTTGATTGCATTTTTGCCACTGCTACTGTGCAATTACCAAATAATTTTTTATCAAACTTATTTAGTTTTCTATATTTATAATTATTGCAGTCAACATGCCTAATACCAGCGTAAAATTTGTTTTTATTTAGTTTGTCATAAGCTTTGTCATTGAAAATTAGACAGCTGTTAACCTTTGCCAGAATTTTCTTGAACAATTTTTTTGATTAATTTAGATGTTTTACTGTTTTACTGCTTTTTGATACAATTAAATTTTTTTTATATAAGAGTGAATAACAAATTTTGACAAAAAAATATTTTTGCTTCTTTATAGTGAGACATTATTCTACAAATATGAACAGCAAATGCTTAAGACAAATCTTTGATAAAGATTTTATTTGAGAAACCACAGATCAGTTGACTTTAGTTAAGAGATTTTAAGTAAATGTGCAATATTGGATTATGGTGAGACTTGCTCTCTGTGAAACTAGTTTGAGTTGGATTTTCTCATCTTGTGATCTTAGTGTTAATGGTTATCTACCTTTAATTCTTAAAGACTCCAATAGTCCCGAGCTTGGTCGTCTGTCAATCATTATCTTGCTCTATCTGCCAAGCTTGGGACTATTGGAGTCTTTAAGAATTAAAGGAAGATAACCATATAACTATACAACATATATAACTATATCACTTTTTTAGCAACATATATAACTATATCACTTTTTTTCACTCTTTTAAAATCATACAATTTTAAATTGGTACTGATAAACAAATACTTGGACCCAAATCAAAGCCAAACAATTTTTTTAAAAGATATTAGAAAAACTCAGTTAAAAAAATAAACATTTTTATTTTTTTCTACTACGAAAAGAAAACTTTCAAGAAAATAAATACAATTTTAGAGGAACGCTTTTTATTTTAATTTTAAAAAAAGAAAATATGCATATGCAGTATACTTAGAATTCTTTATTAATTTGTTAGTAATTTATTTTTATTAATTTGTTAGTAATTTATTTTTATTAATTAAATTTTTAATTTAGATATCTAAAGAACAATCATATGCTGTTCAGACATAAATTATTTTAAGATGATTTATTATCAGAAATAATAAATTGTTTTTAGAATTATTTTAATTTGTGATGTTTGATCCCCACCACATCCCTGGTAGTACAGTGTTTACTTTTTTCTACACGCAGCGCCATTGTTCATTAAGGTTTGTGTTTCTGAGTTATAAAGTTGAAAGTGGGTTGTAACCATAGCTAAAGTAGCCTCTTCAATTGAAGTGGCCTTAGGGAGGTGAATTGAAATAAAAAAATTATAAACATAGAAATATACTTGATACTTAGCTATACTTAAATACATGAAATAAGGCTGAACTATGTGCAAAGAAATTCTCTTCTAATCCGATTCTCGAATCTTGCCATGCTCTTCCTTCCATTCTAATTAAACAAGTTAACCCATTGTTAGACATTCAAATCATTTTAGCTTCCATTGCCTAAAGTCATATCTTGATTAAACTCTTCTATGGCTTGTGGTCCAGACAACATTCCTGTCACAGTCTTTCAAATTGTTCTCCAGAACTCTCTTCAATTTTCTCTTAACTATTTAATAAATGTTTGACTGAATCTTGTTTTCCTGCCTGCTGGAAAATGGCATCTGTTGTTCTAATTTTAAAAAACTCTGGTAAACATACTGACCCCTCTGATTATGTCATGTATCTTCTGTGACTAGCTGTACACACCTCTCAACTGATTGTGTATGTGAACTCCATTGGGGAATAACTATGGGATTATTAATTATATCTTTAATATCCGATAATGTAAAATTGCATTTTAAAGGTGGTTCTGTTATATTATTGCTCCAGTCTATCAAACTAAAAAGATTTTTAGCATCAATGTTAATATCAGGTGTTCTTCAATGTCTGTGGCTATAAACACTAGTATTAGTTTGCTTGTGATATTTTTCACAAAGCTTAAAAATAATTTCCACAGCTTGAACTCTTTCTACTTTACACTCACTGCATATCATAGCTTGTAAAATAGCTCCTGAATGCGCATACCAGGCTAATGTTTTATTTGTGGGCATTACAATATCAAGAACTGGTTTCCTCTGGCTTATGAGGAGTTCTAATTGGTATAAAATGTGTCTTGATTACTCAACCCAACATAATCATGTTGGGTTAAGTAATCAAGACACATAACTTTAACTTTTATGTTTAACGGATTTAGAATATAAACACCAACAATAAATTCGACAATCCATGTAATGATTTTGAAGGTTGATACCATATAGGCCATGCTGAGAAACCCATATCCCGAAAAATCTTAATGCTGTTGTGAGCCACCTGCTATGGCAAACAGGTGATTCACAACACCTGCTATGGCAAAATTTCTAGCATTGCTAACTGCTGAGGTAAATTATTTCAGGGTTAAGAATAATGCAGGCCCAAAATCAAATTTTGAAAGTCTGGGATTAATTTCAAGACTTGTTGCTGTAGGATAAACTGGGGTAAAGTGAACTAGATGTAAAGTGAACTATTTTTTTATATTAAAAAATTATTACCTTTAAAAAATTTTTTGTTTAGTCACTTAGCATTATTTTTGCTTAATGCAACATTTTAATATTTTTCAAAAAAAGTTAAATTTAAAATATAGCTTTTGTTTTGATGTAAAAGCCATTTTAAAAAAAGAGTTTGGCAGAAGTTTTAAAATTACGTTATCAAACTTTGTGATTGGTATTACTAAATTTAAGTTTTGTTGTTGTTAATGTGAATATCAGTTTAATTATTTACATTTTGTTGTTGCTAATGCGAATATCAGTTAAATTATTTATATTTTGTTGTTGTTAATGCGAATATCAGTTATTATTTGTATACATTTTGAAGATAGTATAATGCTGCTTTACAAAAATGATAGTTTTTATCATGATATAAAACAGCTAAGTTTTTATTTTGTAAATCAATTTAGTTCACTTTACCTCTCATTTTTCTGTCTAATTGGGGTAAAGTAAACTAATCTTTTTGCTATTTTCATCAAATACTTTTAGTAGAACTGTATATATACATCATAATTACTTAACTAAATTGTTTACTTTTAAAATAAATATTTGCTGTAGAAATTTTCTTAAAATTTATTTCAGAGATATAATATATTGAAATAATGCCAAGAAACTGCATTAAGAAAAAAGAATCTTGAATGAGAAAATATGTACCTAATTTGGTATCAAATATCTAATTCTCAGTCGGTAAATCTTCAAGCATATGCACCTAATTTGGCTAATTGCTTCTCTTTGATAATCATATGAGTGATATTTCTTTAGAAACTTTAAAAAACAATTGAAAATTATACAATTATTTTGTGTTTGCCAGCACACTGTTTGCATCTGCTACAGCCACTTGATGTAGGAGTCTTTTGCCAAGTTAAATATGAGTGACATGAAGTTCTGGCTAATTGGTATACCAATTCAAGGCTGAAGGTGGTTGAGAAATCTGTTTTTCCATCTTTACTTAAAAAACTTTTTTAAGCCAGCTCATTTATTAAAATCATTTGCCAAAACTGAAATATTTTTCCTACCCATCTGCTATATCATTTGACAAGTTAACTCCTTCCGAAATCTATAAACACCCTTTTTCTCAGAAAACAAATAATTGTGACAATAACATCCCTTGAAACATCACTTTGAACACAAATAGTAATACTTAGAACGATAATTGTGAAAATTTTAATTGAGAAGTCAAAAAACAAATACAATTTTCACAAAACTATGATATCATTAGACAAAGACTTGAAGATTGAAAAAAATAAATTAACTATTAATATCAGATGTAGATTATTTTAATTGAAATAAAACCATAAGTGAAATAGTGGAAGAACAGTTAATGACCACAAAGGGTTATATTTGTTCATACAACAAGCGACTTATGGAAAAAAAAAAAATAAAACTATAGAAGTGAGTGTCTTATATCAGAAGATGCATTTAAAAGATTAAACAATGAAGAAAATGAAGGTTTTAAAAGGAAGATCAACTTTCTTTCCATTAACCAGTTAACCATGTGGTCTGCAATTATCTCAGCATATTTTCTGTGATCAAATTTATCAAGAACAAAATGAAATAGATATCTACCACTTGGCTCAGTAACTACAGAATAATATTCTTCCTTAAGAAGACCAGGGAAATACCTACCATTGAATTCTGTTATTACTTTTGAATTTTCTTTTCTGCCATCAAAAAAAATACAGGTGACTACATTATTTTCAATATTTTTATTAAATTTATTATTTAATTCGATTGGCAACTTCTCTTGCGCCCTTTTAACCTTGCTGTAATCAATAATCATCAATGTATCATTCTTTGTTATAATTTTTGCATCTATAAGTGCTGCTGTCGCTATTTCTGTGGTTTCTCATAAGCTAGTGTGATGCCTCGTACTAGCAAGTGCAATGTTTGTTATGTCTGCTCTGTTATAAACTTTTACAATATTATTGGAAGGTTCTGGTTCTCTAAAAATATTTGGTTCTGAGTCAATTTTATTTGTTTTTTCAATCTATAAAAAATAAATACAAGAATTAAACTTTTTGTTATTATCATTAAGTTAATGGTTTATAAAAAATCTAAAAAGTAAAAAAAAATATTTAGATTTATATTTATAAACCACTATATCAACTATAGTTATATTAAAATTATTTACTAACAAACATATTTTATTATTACTTGATTAATCTGTAAGTATAATCTTTTGGAATTAATTGGTTGAGTTTTCCTCTTTTTTTTTATTTTTATCACTCTTTTCTAATTGCTGCTGATACTCCTCTTTTCTCTTTACAACTTGTTTTATTTTTGTTGATTCTTTTTTGTCAACTCCACCAATATAGTAATATGCAAAACTTCCAACTTTGTTTCTCTGTGACTTGATAAAGCTGAGTTCTATAACAGGAATTTTATTTTCACGTGCGCACATACAACACATACAAATAATATGTGCCTGCGTTTTACAGCCTTGATCACAACCATACTCTGAACAAAACATTAAACATTTACAGGATAGATTTCAAAATGTTTTTTTCCTTATTAAAACATTTTTAAAATTTCATTTTGATAGCTAATTAGGATGGATACCTGTCGAATAAACAGACGGATACCAGGGTACCTGTTGTTTTCATTCAACAATTTCATTTATTTAGAGTTGCTCTTTTTCACTTAAGTATCCAGGTTACCAATTACAGTTTAGAAATACAAACATGTCTGTTATATTAAAGTCTCAATTACAGTTTTACTAACATGTCTATTTTTTTGGTTTCCAAAAATGCACGCCTTTGATTGACCACATCTCCAGCAATTGAGAAAGTGCAATCTGAAAGCAATGAAGTTGCACATGTACTTGCATGTTAAATAGCATAATTGTATCTTCCATCTTCCAGGTTTTGAAAAAGTTTTGTTCTTGAGACTGATTAATTAAAAATTCAACATGCTCTAATTTATGTAAAAGAAAACATTGTTTTTTGAAATAATAACAATCGAAAAGCATTACCCTTAAGTTGCTTAAGAGTAATGCTTTTTACAAATTCTTGAAAAAAGAAGCAAATCAAGTAGTTTAAAGTAAGAAAAATCAAAAATTATATAAAACTTTTTAATTATTTCATTTATTAACAGTCATTAACAAAGCAAATATTTTAAACTGGGGGTATTCACCAAATGATGGCTTTAATAACAAGTGCACACAATATCTAATACACTTGTGGCGCCACAAGTGTATTAGATTTTGTTGTCAATTTAAAAAGAATTTCAAAATTTACTCAATTTTTATAAATAAAGTCATTAACAAAACAAGTTAAAAAATTAAACACAAAATATATTTAAATGAATCTTTTGCTAGTTTAATCCTAGCCAGACTCCAATTCCAGACTCCTTTAAGTCTAGCTAGACTCCAGTTCCAGACTCCTTTAAGCCTTACAAAACTCCAGTTCCAGACTCCTTTAAGTCTAGCTAGACTTCATACTGTTTGAAGACATTTACAACCATTATTAAATAACCAAATAAATTTGTTGGTATATAAAAAAGTTTTAAAGCAAAGTTTTTCAAATCCAAGTGTGAGTGTACAAAAAAAAGTGTACAGCACATACATTTTTTAAGGAAAATCTTTTTAGGTTGAACTAATTTTTTTTTAGGTTGAACTAATTGAAGAACAGCAACACCTTCTTGTAGAAGTTTCTCTAGAAGATTCTCAATTTTTATCATCACAAAATTTAGTTGCAGAAAAAAAACAACAGCGACAAGCTCTTTTAGATAAACGAGACAAAATTAGTGCTGATAGAGTAATTCAAAATCTTGAAAAGAATGAGTTATTAATAATGTTGGAGCAAGTCTTGTCTCTTGAAACCAAGTAAGTGCAATTAATTTGATAAAGAAAAGTTATTTTGTTTACAGTGGTATTTTTGAAGATATTTATAAAATGTTATTCAAGTTTTGCTTACCCCAAAAATGTTATTCAAGTTTCGCTTACCCCAAATAGTCTTAAAAAGTTTTAAAATCTCTGAATTATTTTAAATTAAATTTTTTAATACTTATGTTTTTTAATATTTAGTAATATTTATTAGAAATTAATTTTATTTATTAGAAGTTAGTAATATTTATTTGTAATTAGTAATATTAGTAATTAATTTCATTTATAAGTAATATTTATTAGTAATTAATTTTATTTATTAGTAGTTAGTAATATTTATCGGTAATTAGTAATATTTATTAGTATTTAATAATATTTCTTTGTAATTAGTAAATTCCGCAAAATTATGAATTAGTTTAAAACAAGGTTTTCAATTGGTTTTTTTATTATTAAATAAAGTCATTATTTATAGCTATATTTTAATTTATTTATTATAAGTTTGAAATAAGCTTTTCTAAATAATGTTTTTTTATGTCAGATATATAGTTTTATATGCCAGATTATTTAAGCAGCCGTGGCGCAGTGGTTACGCACTTGCCTTAGAAACAAAGTATTTGTGGTTCAAGTTTTGCGACATCGGTTAGGAAGGAGGTCTGAACTTTGAATTAAATGCTCATCTGCAATGCTCTGTGATAAGACCATAAGGACTTCTTGGGACACCTAAATAAAGTTGAAAAATATATATTGTAAATAGTTTTGATATGGTACCACTAGGAGATCGAAGGTTTATTGTTGTATGCTTTATTATCTTCAAAATTAAATTGGCGGAATCAACCTCTCTGAGAGCTACCACAGAGTTCAGGAAACTTTACTATCAGCCAGTCTCAGATCCATTAAATTTAGTTTTAGAGCTGTACCCCTAGGAGATAACAGAAAGAGTTACCTAATAGATGAAGAAGGGGTTTGAGGCTGGTCAACAGTATTATACTGCTTACCTCTAAAGTATATGCATAGTAGGTCTTCCACAAGACAGTAGCTGGATGCAGTTAACTTCTCCCTAAAATGAGTATTTTTATTAAGGCACCATCTTTTGGCTTTTCTTAATCAAGAGCCCCAAGCGGATTTTTAAGTCAGAGTTTATTTCTCCTAGCCTTCGCCCAAAATATCAAACTCTATAAGGAAGCAATGCAAACTTTTTAAAGCTGTTAAACTAATATTTATAACAAAAACAACATAAATACTAGCATAAACAAAAACAACATAAATACTAGCATAAACAAAAACAACATAAATACTAGCATAAACAAAAATAACATAAATACTAGCATAAACAAAAACAACATAAATACTAGCATAAACAAAAACAACATAAATACTAGCATAAACAAAAACAACATAAATACTAGCATAAACAAAAACAACATAAATACTAGCATAAACAAAAACAACATAAATACTAGCATAAACAAAAACAACATAAATACTAGCATAAACAAAAACAACATAAATACGAGCATAAACAAAAACAACATAAATACGAGCATAAACAAAAACAACATAAATACTAGCATAAACAAAAACAACATAAATACTAGCATAAACAAAAACAACATAATTACTAGCATAAATTCTCCAAAACTGCTCTCCAGACTCTTCAAAATACTTGAAAAAAATTTTTTTTTTTTGGATTTTTTATTTTAGAAGTTTAATGTTAAAAGTTTGCCAATGATCAGACTTAAAACATATGTCTGTTAATATAGAGACAGTTGTTGGCTAATTGAGACCTTTTTTCTTTTTTGACTTTCTCAAAGCATAAATTTTTTTGCTATTTATTTAGAACATTAATATTTTTTTAGACTTCATCAAGAGATGTCTTTATTAAAGTTAAAAGGTATTGGATATTTGCATTCTCAAGTTTGTGGTTTATCTAAATTCTCTCAATTTGCTCATAAAGCTGATCAAATTATATCAAAAATGCAATCCAATTCAATAGTCCCAAGTCCTGTAGGAAACAAAAATGTTCATAATAATTCAGAAACTGAAATGAATGCTAATTCATTTACTTCTTCTACTTTGAATAAAAACAAATTTCGGTATGTAATTATTTAACTTTTTTTTTTTTTGGTAATTATTAAATTTTTAAAAAATATTTATGCAAAAAGACTTTTTTTAATTTTGAAAATTTTTTAGGTATCTTCCCAATAAAATTTTACCTCGTTGTCGTTTTCTTTTGCCTCTTTCTAAAAAGAGATTAACATTTGTTAAGGAAATGCTTGAGAGCAGTGAACGATCAGCTCCTCAGCATATACCAGTTATTTTTATTGATCGATCTATTCCACTCTCTCAAAGAAAAACTGAGAGTGACACAGTTTTTAAGCAATTGTATTATGGTGTTCTGCAGAAACAATTGAATTACAGGTTTGATAGCACACTTTACAATATAATTTTTTTAGGTCTTTCTTTTAAATTTTAGAAAGAAATATTATTACATATTATTATCTTTTTCAACATTGTAAATAAGTTAATAAATTTTTATGTAGCCAATAACTTTCTTTTTTTTTTTTTTTTTTTTTTTTAAGTATTTAATAATCATAATATATATACAATATAATAATAATAATGATTAATAATATAAAATTTAAGTTTTTAATTTTAAAAAATTGACCTAATTACCCAAAAGCATTAGGAAAACAAAATAAAATAGTCTCAATTGACATTTTTAGATATAATTTCGAACAATACAAAATGTATAACAAAAGTATAAAATAAATAATATTTTATAAAAGCAAAAAAGTATTAAATTAAAAAAGAGTTTTAAGTTTTTTTATTATTGATTTTTTTATACTTTTAGTATTGAATATATTTATATACATTTAACATTAAATTAATATTATTGAAAACTATTAAAAATATTTTTTTGCTATATTTTTTCGCTCAGAAACTAAAAAAAATTTCTAAAAGCCTCACATAAGACCATTTGAAAGTTGTCTATAATATGTGTACTTTCAATTCCAACAAAGATCTTTGCCCTTAATTGTCCATTTTTTTAAAAAAAACAATATTTGGAGCTCCATTTATTTCAGAGACCCTCCTCAATTACTGTAATAATTAATAAAACATTGGTTCTTTTCATGACTCCATGGTTCTGGACCACTATTTTATTTAGGGGAGGGGGTGTGAGATACTGCAAGTTGCTGTCCCTGTTTGAGGCATCTGAAAACTGTGCCTGTGGGAGAATATGAAATGGAATAATACTAATATTTTTGTGTTTCCCAATAGCTTACATTAAAAAAAATTTTTGTTGCAGACTTTCTAATTTTTGCCAAAGCACTGGGATTAGAGAAAAGAGCTGTTGATATGAACCTTTAATTGTGTTATACCCTCTGTGTTCTTTCTGTGTCCTTTAAATACTCTTTGTGTTCTTTCTACTAACAAGAGGATTAACCCTGATCTTTTCTAAATTTTTTATATCTAGATAAATGTAATAAATAAATATAAAATCTTATAAATTATGTAATACCACAAAATATAATGTGTATATTATAAAATTTAATATGTGATACTTTATAAGATTTTGTATTTACTTAATACATTTATTTAACCATAAAATTATGAATTTAATGATAATTTACAAGATAAGGTTTGGTGAATTAAAGCATCTACATCTAATAATAAAATATACAAATATATATATATATATATATATATATATATATATATATATATATATATATATATATATATATATATATATATATATATATATATATATATATATATATATATATAAAATACAAAAATAAACTAATAATATTAAATTTAAATAAACAAACAGTATCAAAATGTATATACCAACTGCAAATTCTCTACTAGAAAATGCAATTTTAAAAAAAGATGAACAAAATGTAAATGAATTAAACAAACTATGAAACAAACTAATAAATTAAAATGTGAACAATTAATAACTTATACCTAAGTCTACAAAAACTAACCTACAAGTCCAAAATTTTATATAAGTAACATATAATAAAGTAAGCATATAATATGCTAAGTATAATTAGTAAATCTTAAATGGCTTTGCATTGTTTCCTGCCTAGGATGATAAACATGGGATGTTCTTGACTCTATTCATGAATATTTTCTTGGATCTTTTTCCTAATGGTTATACAACTCTTTCCTTTATACTTTTTTCTTGATTTTTTTAATTTTAATTTCATTAGTTGTAGTTTAAACTTTTTTTAATGGTTAATTGTATTTTTTTTTATCATAATCATAAATGCATTTAAAGTTATTTAAATTGATTTTCTAAACTGATAAATTATCTAAATTGATAACTGATAAGTTTTTTTTCATAAAGGTGGAACAGAAAGACATGTGAACAGTGGTGGGAAGTAAAATTTATTGGAGAAGGAATAATTGATCAAGGTGGTGGGTTTAGAGACAGTCTTGTAGAAATTTCAGAAGAACTTTGCCCACCCAGTCCAGAAGTTATTTCCCCACTCCCTTATTTTATAAAGACACCAAATCAAAGATCTGGGTCAGGAAATCATTTGGATTGTTTTACATTAAATCCATCCTGTGATGACTTTTCACTTTTTTATTGGTGAAAACGCTTTTATTTGTTTTTACATCTTTTTTGGTTGTTTTTGTTTTTACAGTAATAAAAAATTGAGGAGTTTGTTCGGTAGATTTTTTTATCTTTTACTGTTGAAAAATAGTTTAAGAATAATTTTCAGGATAGGACAACTAATGGGTGCATGTTTTCGAACAGGTGAATCATTACCTTTAGCTCTAGCTCCTTATGTTTGGAAAATTCTTGTTGGTGAGCATGTGACGTGGGAAAAAGATTATGCAACTGTTGATGAAGCAGCAGTTCGAAATATTGGTAAAAAATGCTGTTATTGTATTTAAAAAAATAAGATAAAAAATTATAGACAGATTTATTATTTCTTTGTTACATAATTTTGTATATAAGAAGAAGAGTCTTAGTTAAAACTATAATAACTTTTTTTTAAAAAAGTACCAAAAAGTTTTGGAGATACTTATACAGTTCCAAAAATTCATCTTAAAATTTCATTGTATGCAGTAGTGTATGGTAACAGCTTGTTACTGATTCTTATTGTAAAAAAGTTGTTTGAATTGCAGTTTTATATTTAAATTTAAATTTTGGTACAAACAATAAAGTTGAAGGAATAAAAATATTTAAAGAGTTTGTAAAAAAAGTTATTGTTCTATTTTTACAAACACTTTTTAAGGTTGGCTTGAAAGTATTGATGAAAACACTTATTCTGAACTTAAAATTGAAGAAGTCTTCACTACTCACCTAAGCAATCAAGCTGAGTTTGAGCTTTGTCCTAATGGTTTAAACAAAATTGTGAAATGGAATGATCGAAAAGAATTTTCACTTTTGGTACGAAAAGCTCGTATGTTAGAAAACATAAATCAGGTTAGTTTAGATAATAGTTGTAAGAAAAATTTGATTTTTCAAAATGGGAAATTTGTAAGTAACTTCATAATATTGCTATGTCAAAAATATCTGTTTCAATAGAAAATTTTTCCATTGAATGAAAAATGGAAACTGTGTCAAGATGTAGAAAATACTTCTGAACAATATTTATAGTAAAATTTTCAAATACAAAAAATCAAAAGATAAAAGGATTTTTTTTATTTTTTTTTTCTTATTTAATTACTTTGTTTTTAGTAAATATTTAAAAAATCTTTATTTAAGAAAAAAATTTTGAATATTTTTTTTTTTTTGAATCTCTTACAACTTAAGATGTTAAAATTTAAATGTTTTTAAATGTTAAAATGTTAATTTAAATGTTTTTAGATTAAAGCTCTACGCAGTGGCTTGACATCTGTTATACCAGAAGGAGTGTTATCGTGTTTAACATGGTGTGATCTAGAGAAAAATGTATGCGGTGACCCTTGTATATCAGTTGAAGGTCTTAAAGCAAACTGTATGTTTACAAGTTTACATCTCCAAGGACATTTAATAAAGTTTTTTTTTTTATCTGTAATGTACAGTCCTATCATACAAATCCTTTTTTTTTCACCCACTTTATTCAATGTATACTTGATGTTATTTTTTTTTGGAGAAAAAAACTTTAAATTCGAATATCCTTGAAGTTCTTCTTTTAACTTTTTTTTTTTTTAATCTAATATTTAATTTAGCTAAATATTTAATTTTTTTTTAAATTTTAAGCAAACTTCAAAAATTTTCAGGGCAAACTTCAGGGTAATTCAAATTAAAAGCTTTTTTTTTTTCAAAAAAAAAAATATAATCTTTGCTCTTTAACACTATTTTTTATTTTCTAGTAACTTCTAACTTAATAGTGGCTGCTTGCAATATGTATCAACTATAAATTGTAGTTGATTTTTTTTTTTTCTTTAAATTAATCCACTTTCAGTAAGGCTGCAAGCAACCACTACTAGATGATGAGAACACTATTAGAGATGCAACCTTACAACAATGGGAGAAAGGTTCAAGCTTGGCAGCTTGAGCCTCTAAAGCAAGTCCAACTACATTTACAATGCGTTTTTAGTTCTTTTTTAGAAGAGAAAGAGCATCTTTAGAAGAAGCAACGCAAAATTAACAACTTTATTCCATACAGGGATGAATCAGAGATTCTTGCCTGTATGGAGTCATCAGCAACCAGATGTAAGATTTTTAGGAAG